GCAGGAGGGGAAGACCCTCTATGAGATGGATTGATTCGGTGACTGGGGTAATCGGGATGGGTGTGTCAGAGGCAGTGTAGTTGGCCCAGGATAGAGCAGGGTTTAGGGCTGTTGTGCATAGGGTCGCTATGAGTCGCAAACGACTCGACGGCACATAACAACAACAACAACAACAATCATTATAGCAAAGAAACAAGAAAAGAAAAAACAATTAGTAAACCTGCATCACCCAAAGAAACTACTGTGGAGAAATGTTGAAAATAGATGCTAATTCATTCTCTCTCTCTCTCTGATTGCCAGTGAGTTGATGGCCCTCCATTGGTTTTCCAAGAGTGTATGTTGATTGGGAAGAGGCTCTTTCTCCCATAGAGCTGCTAGTGGCTTGGAACCAGAGAAGCTCAGCCTTAGGGTCGGCAGCAGATCTCCCAACAAACTACATGCACCACCAGAATTCCCTAAAAAAAAAAAAAATTACTTTCTATTCTGTTTTTGACTGGTTTATTTTCATTACCAAATGAATGTAAGTAGTCATGATTAAAAGTCAAAACTCTAAACCAGCTGTCGAAAGTAGAATGACCTCACGTAAGTTTTCTGGGAGGACACTGCCTGCCTTTCTCTCATGGAGCCACTGATGGACTTGGGCTCCTAATCTTTAGGTTGGTAGCCTGTTATGTAAGGGACCCTGCTACCAGAACTCCACTTACAATAGCTGAAAAGAAGATAGACTTAGGAAGCTTGTTTTTTTTTCTATTGGAAAATATTTTGAAAAATGGTCAAAAAGAAAATAAATAGAACATTTTCTTTTCATTTACATTGACATGAACATTTTTTTCTTAAATGCATGCCACTTGATTTTAGAAAATAGATAAGCAGAGAAAGCTTAGATTGTAGCACAACCGGTACCAAAATATTGCACTGTTTTTAAACATAGATAATTTCCATGCAGGAAACATAAGCTAAGAAAACATAAATACAATCTTTAAAAACTAGTGCTTTTCCGGAATGTTCTGAGTACCTGAGCTAAAAATTATACCTTGAGTTGAAAATCCATTTGTCCCCCTAAACTATGTATTTAAGTTGCATGCTCAAAATGAAAATGTACAAACAATAGAAAACAATGATCTTGTATTAATTCTATAGTTTAATTTTCTTAATTTAGATCTTTATATTATTAAAAAACCCCACCCAGGAAAATCTTGTTGAATTATAGCAACATTTCAATACGTTATACTCCTTTGTGCTCTCTAGAAGCAAACTATTTCTTAACAACTTTTTGCAGTTTTATATAGGATTATACTCTTTAAAGGACTACATTTCTACATTTATAGAAGAAGTTTACCCAACTTTCTATTTTTTCCAAAAGCCCTTTAAATTTTTACCATCCTTCTTAGGATTATCCAATATCATTCCTCAGATATTTTTGAGAAAAAAAATTATTTTTTGAGAATAAATAATTGTCCCGCATAAGAAAAAGTAACTATATAGTTGAGAAGGTTCTTCTATAAATAGAAATATAAGATTTAAAATGCTTTTCAGAAAGCATGAGCGTACAGAGAATTTTTTTTTTAAGCTTTGATAGCTATCATGACTTCTTGCTCAAATATTTATTAGGTTAAATCCTAGGTGTTTTGCCCTGAGCGATTTACTTGGCATGTGAAATTAATATATGACAGGGCTTGGACCAGAGAAACTTCATAGACACTATACTGCTGTAAAACAAGAAGTTTAAACCATAAATATTACTGTTTGAGTGGAGTGATAATTTATTTAGAAAGCAATAAAAAGTGATCCATTTCAAACTTATATCTTTAATAAAAATAGAGAAGCATTTTAGAAATTTAAAAATCTCCTTTTGGTGCTATATCTTTTTATGAACTATTTCATGAGAGGATCTAGTTCATGGGTAAAATTCGGGATTTATCCCAACATGTCAGTATTGCCACTGTTGAGAAAATCTTCTTAAGAAAAAAAAAGCTGAAATTAATACTGTATTACAGCAATATTAGTAGAGTATGTTTTAACATGGTTTTCATTTTTAAACCAAAATTGAAAATAAAGTAATTTAAAATGTTCCAATGTCAAAATTTTTACATTTGTTCTTTTTCACCTAATTTTCCATCAAACTGCATGTTGTGGCTTGTCATCCTCAAAGATTAGTTTTATGTGCATGATTTGGGGTTTGGTTTTGTTTTTTTAGTTATTACAAGGGGAAAAGGTTTGTGACAGCCCAAATGCATTTTTGTTTGTGTTTCTTCAAACTCATTCAATTTATGCTATGTGGATAATGTCATGTGCAATTGCTCCTTCCTTTTCTCGCCCTTCATAATTGGGTGTTTTTTTTTTGTTGTTGTTGTTTTGGTGTTTTTTTCCCATTCTGGTTGGTAGAACGCCCCTGATTGCAGCCGGAGTCATTGGTGGGCTCTTCATCATGGTCATTATGGGTCTGACCTTTGCAGTTTACGTTAGAAGGAAAAGCATCAAAAAGAAAAGAGCCTTGAGAAGATTCTTGGAGACTGAGGTGAGTGAGCTTTCTCTTTTTTCTTATTCTATGAGACTCTTGAATTGACCGTGACTTCTTGTGTACGTGTGTGATTAGAATAGTTATTCGAATGAAGACTTCCAAATCATACTAGTTTTTCATATAGTTCATATTCGTTTTCATTGTGACATCAGTTATCATTGCTTAATTCTATGAATTCATTACAATGCCTAGCCATCCCCTTCTTTTATATTGGCTTTCTTTGCACTCACTTTATCCATTTATTAATTTTCACACCCCTTTCTCACCCTGTTAATCATCCAATGTTGATTCTATCTTTTCCTTCTTGTTGTTGTTGTTGTATACTATCCAGTGGCAACCAACTCTCCCTAGAGAGGCATATCTTATTTAACTCTTTAATGGATTTTTCAGTCAATAAATTGTGAAGGAAAAGATTACCCATCTTTCACAGCTGGTGAATTCGAACCATGTGCCCGTAGGTTGACAGCACAATTCTTACCATGAAGGCACCAGAATTCCCCCAGTATCTCCTGCTTTTGTTGTTGTGTATCGTCAAGCCACAGGTGACTCAGAGCAACCCTATGAATCATCTCCTATCCTGTGCCATCCTCATCATCTCTGACATTCTCCAGCCATTGCTGCTATCACTGTGTCGGTCTCATTAGGAGTGTAAGACTTCTCTTTCACTGACCCTCAACTGATGATGTTCCTTTCCAAAGATTAGCACCTCCTATCAATCTGTCCAAAATATGTGAGATGAAGCGTCACTATCCTTGCCTCAAAGAGGCACTCTGGCCGCACTTTTCCAAATTCTGTTTGTTTTGTTTTTAGAGGGTTTTTTGACAGTCCGTGGAGTACTCAGCACTCTTCTCTTAACACTATCATGCAAAAACATTAATTCTTCTCAAGTCATTTTTATTCATTGCCTAGTTCTCAGATGCATAGGAAGTGATTAAAAAGGCTGTGGCCTGAATCAGGTTCACCTTAGTCTTCACACTGACATCATTGCTCCTCAGTTATTTGAAATGGTCTCTGACAGTACTTGTTCCCAATTGCAACACATCTTTACTGTTGGTGCCAAACATTTCCTTAGCTTATATAAAAGTAATATTTTGATATATTTTTCTCTTTGTGACTGACTTAACGTCACTCAGCACAACTTGTGCTATATTCATCCATGTTTTGTGAATTCTTAATAGTTTCTTGTTTGTTGCTGTGTGCCATTGTGTCAGAACCAGCCAACAGCTGGCCCTCCAGTGGGTTTTCAGAGGAAGTAAAGCCCACTGAATGTGACTGTCATGCTTCTCTCATTGAGAAACTGATGGATTCAAAGTGCTTGTCTGTGGAATATCAGTGCAGCTTTTCTTGGTGGTTTTTTTCAACTCTTTGCTTTTGCAAATTACACTGCAATAAATATTGGTGTGTGTATATCAGCTTATGTTTCCTTGTGATAGGTTCTTAGTAATGAGATTGCAGGATCAAATGATATTTCTATTTCCGGTTTTCTAAAGAAGTACCAAATTTCTTTTCAAAGTGGTCACACAATTTTATGTCACCAACAGAAGTGTGTGAGAGTTTGAGTCTCTCTACACCCTCACCAGCATTTTTTGTGCACTGTCTCATTGAGAAGTGCTGTTGTTCAGATATGATCTTTCTTCTCTTCAGGGAGCTCTGGTGGCCTAGTGGCAAGAAACTGTGCTGCAGTCCTGAAGGGACCAGGTTCTAGGCCACCAGCTGCTCCATGGTAGAAGGATGGGCGATTTTCTCCCATGTGATTAACCGCCTCTGAAAAACCACCTACCCAGCTAGAGGTCATTTCTAACTCTACAGACCACGACAACAAACCAATAAGATGTATTTTCGGATTTTATTACACTTGCAAATTTAAGAAGGATTGTATTTTTTGAAATTCAATTGAAAATTCTATTCAGTATCCTTCTGAGAGTTTCTATTTCATAATCTATGAAATAAAATAATAAGGATCTATAATAAAGTTAGTCAAAGGGGAGATGGACACATTAAATTAATTATTCTATTGGATAAAAAGACAGGGATTTTGTTTGTTTGTTTGTTTGGGTTTTTTAGGGTACTCAATTGATAACTCTCTCATTTGACTTGTATCTGGCTTTTTTTTAACCAGAGAAACTTCTTGAATTTTCGATTCCACCACTTCTGAGTCTCTGGTTCAGCTACAGCCAAACACCAAATGAAACCTACTAGCATCAAACCCATCCCAACTGATGGCTGCTCTTCACCAGGTTTCCGTTTTGTGGGAGGAAGCTCCCTTGTCATAGAGCGAAACTGCCAGCCTTTAGTTAGCAGACCAACTTACAGCCCAGTACAGCTGCTTTCTCTCTTTCATGACCTCTCTCTCTCATTGCTGTCAAGTCGGAACCCACTCATGGCTGACACAGCAGTGGTTTTTCTCGTGACCGTTTATCACATGAGGGTGACTACTCATCTTCCTTTCGTGAGCTCTGGTGGATCCGAACCAGAGAAGCACCACGTTGAGCTAGAAGTGCATCTGCCTTGAACTGTGCCATACAAGCTCCTAGTACAGTCCCTAGGACTTCTTAAAGACTAATACACAACTAGTATATGCTTCCATTAGGGCCATTTTAGCAGAAATCATTGATCTCATCACATCACTAGTGAAAGGTTGAGCTTAAAGGATAAAGCTTAGTGTTGAAATCACACAGACCTTGCAATACAATTTATGGGATATGCAGTGTTATATGCATGATGGCTATTGTGACGATGGTTAAGTACCCATAGATTATCATCCCTTCTTTTATGTTACCAAACTGAGGTCTCTAGCATGCAAACTTGTCATTTTCACTGATGCCTTGTACACGAGAAAGGAAAACAAAATATTACAAAAGACTGTGCCCTTTTTCTCCACCCATTCTACCTCTTCTTATACTAATAAGGGGAGATATGTTACCTTCCTGAGAAATTCGGTTCTAAGAGTTGTACTACACTGGCTTTGTTATTCCTCTTATTGCAAGTATGACAGTTTGAGTTTTCCCCTAAAAACTGACAGGGATGGGACTTTCCATTTATTTAAAGCTACCTTATGGAAAATACTTTCTAAGGGTGGATATTATAATTAGGTATCTCATCTGCAAACAAGTTCATACATAGATAATTTCGTCAACTACATGTGTGAAAAAGCACAGTTGAATTTTGTACATAAGCTAAATATTTGCAGAAGATGAACATGATCACTCATTCCGTTGCCCGTCAAAGTTAAAGTCTGGACTGAGCACAGGATTGCCTGTGCATAGCTTCACTTGGGCTCGATGCTGGAGGCGTATAGAATTCTCCCTCATGGCCAGCTCAGGGCAGTCAGTGACAGAATTGTGAAAAATGAGATAGAGTTGGAGAGCAGTGGAGGGCTTGAAACAGTGGCGGACAATTAGGTAAATGAATTAAGAGAAATTTTCTCTTTTCACTGTAATTAAAGCTCCTTGTTGCCATAAAAGACATGCTTTTGTTAAATTTTATTATTTTCCTATTTTTATATGATTCTTTCTAAGAATGTTGTTCTTCATGTTGATATTTTATCACTGAAAACATTCTGGTTGGTTTGTGGCAGCTCATTCTATGTTTTATATGAAGATTTACATAACACAGATTGCTTAACTCATTTCTATTTGGAGGCTGAAGAATTATAGGATCTACTTCTTTCTCTCAATAAAGGAAAAAATTGGTGTTTTTCTGTCATCGTCTAAATAGACTAGTAATCCTTAAGGGATTCAATTTAAATCTTTAAATGCTGAGGCTAGAAATTTGCCTTAATAGTGATAAAATATATGTAAATCCAGGCATGTTGTTGATGTACACTTAAATTTGATACATCTTCCCCTAACAGTTTTTACTCTACTACTCTTTATTCTTGTTTAAAAGTAGAAATGATGTCTTTTCCCATTTACTCTTAGTGAGATGCAGTGTAAATCAATATTTTAATTAAATCCTATGACTCAAGAAACAAAATACTACCTTTGAAGAGTTACAGATTCTATATCTGTAATGTGCCAGAGAGTTAGAAAATTATTAGAAAATAGCCCAAGTTTATTGATCAGTTTTATGATGTTTTTCCTAATCTAACTGCTGTTGCTACATTTAGCCACACTCAAGACCGTTCCTCTAATTAAGTGGACCGTGGTGTTCACAGAAGCAGGTTAATAACACCCAAGCTGGAGGACCACAGCACACTTAGCCTGGTAAATAGACATTTTGAAATGCTGTGGTGGTTTCAAGACAATTTGAGTAGGAGTAGCCCTTAATTATTTCCTTATGCTCAGAAAAACAGGCCATTTGTCTGTGTTTAAAGTTTAGTTCATTTATTTAACTTTTTAAAATTATGCACTATTTCAGTCACTTGTCTTTTTCTTCAAGTGTAAAGAAGACCTGAAACTTTTAACCAAGGCTCCCCCCCCACCCCGCCCCATTTACAAATGATTGCTATCCATTTATATATGGTTCCCCTGTTCATTCATCCACCATGTGGCTGTTGTTGTTGTTATGTGCCGTCGAGTTGTTTGCGACTCATAGCGACCCTGAGTACAACAGCCCTAAACCCTGCTCTGTCCTGTGCCAATCGCATTGCCTCTGACACACCCATCCCAATTACCCCAGTCACTGAATCAGTCCACCTCATAGAGGGTCTTCCCCTCCTGCGCTGTCCCTCCACCCTCCCATCAAATCTTACTTCAAACAACCACTAGCCTAGTTTTACAAGTTTTGGTCATACCAGCAAATTCCATAACCTGATGTTTTCCACCCTTTCAACATGTCCTACATTGTGTTGTGTCTCCCTTCAACCTGATGCTGTGTTCATGACGTTCTTCGCAGGAACAATGCCTTTTTCCATGTCAACTCATGCCCCTTACTTCAAGGAAAGTCTTAAATATTTCTTACTTGGGCAGCCAACATTAGCAAGTCTCACTCCTTAGAGATTACTTCTATGCATTCTATCGCATTCACCTATAATCTAGAATCACATGGAATTTTAGATTTTTTTAGTTAGAAAGTACCATTGGTCTTTGCTGTTTAGACTTTGGTCAAGGATCACCATCATATTTAATTATCACAGAGGGTTTGTAAAATTGCATACACGTCGCTGCAGAAACAGGCTCACGTGTGTCAGAGTGATGAGAATGGAACAGGATAGGACAGGACTCAGCTCGATTGTCCTTAGGCTCACTGTGAGTTGTACTCCTCTCAAAAGCATCTGAGAACAACAGAACAGATGTCCCCAAGGTGATGAATAAATTTGTATGCTTAAAAAAGAGCCCCAAGTAATTGGTAATGCACATTAAAGTCTTAGAATCTTAGAAGCACTATGCTTGGTTTGCCATTTTCGTAGTTTTACAATCCCCCCCCCCCCATGTATTGATCCTGGCTTTCCAGCTTGATTTTTAAATACTAAGAAGGTAGCGTTTTATTTCTATTTTTTTAAATATACTTCAGAGCCCCTGGCCTTCTAAATCTCAACGCAGTCAGTCACACATCAGTTATATCAATGGATAGTGAGCGATCCACATCACAAAATTGTTTGCCGAGAGAAAGTGCTTTTGTATATTTTGTGTGTGAGAGAGAAAGAGAGATCTGAAAATAAGATAAAGATAAGGCTGGACTGAATGTTCCCTAACCTTCATTTCTTTTGCTTTGCAGTTGGTCGAACCCTTAACTCCCAGCGGTACGGCACCCAATCAGGCTCAACTCCGAATTTTGAAAGAAACTGAGCTCAAGAGAGTCAAAGTACTTGGCTCTGGTGCTTTTGGAACTGTTTATAAGGTAAGAAAGAAGTAATGCATACCTTCAGTTTTTTCCAAGTTTTTCTTCAAACTTGTTTCTATAATAGCCAATTAGTACTGCAGACAACCTAATTTCTTCTGTAGTACTCGGAGAGGAACACCTTTACTGTATGGAGAAGTAGCTGCAAAATTATATTCATTAATTTTTATTGAACAAGCTAGCTGGGACAGTAAGGAGAGGCAGCCAGGGAATGCTGGTAAAAAGCAAAAGTGGAATGAATTCTTTCTCTGGAAGCCTTTCTGAACCCCGTTAAATATAATTTCCTTTTGGAAAAGCGCTATCGTTAACCATTACACCCAAACTCAGCCTAGTATTCCCCTTCCCCCTACACAGTGCTCCATAAAATCCTAGACATGCAAGTGCTAAATGTCATAATCCCTTGCTTTTTGTTTTTCTCTCCTTTGTTCTGTATCCAAAGCCTTTCCTCTTAGAACCTTAAACTCTTAGAAATCCACACAAATATGCTGATATGTAGAAAGGATAAGACTATTTGTTAGACTAGCCCCCAAGTAATGCAAATTGTAACCTAAGGTTTCCCAGTTCCCAGCCACCACCAGATTCCTCAGAAGAAAGTCCTGCCAACCTCTCACAGAAATCTGATGGTGTGGTCGGTCCTTAGGGAGTTGGCTGCTAGCCCAAAGGTGATGCCTCCCTGGCAATTTGAAAAATCAGCCATTACAAACCCTATAGGGAGCTCCAGTGGCCTAGTGGGTAAAGAGCCGTGCTGCCAACACAGAGGCATGTGGTTTGAATCCACCAGCTATTCTTGGAAGAAGGACAAGCATTCTCCTCTCGTGTGATTTACTGGCTTTAAAAACCAGCTATACGGTTATATATAAGTCAGTTCTGATTAAATGACAATGAGAGGAAGACAGAGATAGAGTCAGAGAGACCCCGTAAGGAGTACGTGCCTACTCCTGGACATATGGAGTGGCCTTGAGTCAAGGTTGACCCAAGGAAGATGATAAGTTCTTAAAACCATTGCTTCTTTTGCTGTTACACATATAATTCAGTAGGCAATGTCAATAGTCATGATAGCTTTACCATTATGTGCAAACTAAAGAAGTGATTTGATATTTAAAATTCAGGTCAGGCAGAAGGGAAGGGTGACTTCATGGGTTTTAAATAAGTGAAATATTTCTGGAAGGAAAATACTCTCATGTTGGCATTTGAGTGTTTACTTATTTAGTTTAATGGCAATACCAATCTAGAGGCCAGACCCAAGGTTAATTGTGGTGATATTTATGTTAATGGAACATAGCAGGAATAGGAAACTAATCTGAGTTGAATCTTTCCTGTACACTCCATTACTACAATTCTCATCATTTACTTTGCAGTTTTATATATTTCTCAAAACTATATGCAAGCCTGTAATTTTTATGAATATCTATTAAAATACATTCAATCTTGGAGATTTTCTATTTTAAAATGTTCAGGTTTTTTATTTAAATAAATGATTCATTTAATAGAACATATTAAAAATTAGAATGTTGTTGTTTACCATCAAGCTGACCCATTGCTGACCCTCCAGCGGGTTTTCAGAGGCAGCTAATCAATCATATGAGAGGAGAGTGCTCATCTTTCTCCCGTGAGGAAGCTGGTGGTCTTTAACTTCATGTCTTTGGCATTGCAGCACAGCTTTTCACCACTAGGGCATCAAACTCCTAAAAATAGTAGCCTTAATTTAATTTTTATTCTGTCTCAAGTGTGTCCAAAAGAGCCCTGTTAAAATAAAAACAGCTATAAACTCAAAATGCAGGAGTTTTGTTCAAACTTTTACTCATTTTTAACAAAATTCATATTTTTTCTATTAATCCCACAGCTGTTAACTGAGCACTTACTTTGCCCAGGAACTATATACAGCTTAATTGTAAAATTTTCTGGGCTTCAAACTCTTTACAGATTCAAAGAAATATTACTTGCCCTTTTCCCATAGTTACAAGATTCTATAAAGAGTATACCCACACTGCATTTTTATGTGTACTTAAATTTCAATCTGTTTAATTGCATTAATTTTATTCTTATCACTCTCATTCATTATCTTTGAGTCAGAACTGACTGTCCTCAGAGCTCTCTGTAGGGCTCTTAATGGCTCGTCTTGCACTGGGTTTCTGAGGCTCTAAATTTTAGAAGATATGACTGTGGTGGGTGGATTAAAATGACCAGAGAGAAGCAGCCTGAGACAGTCCTACTGACCACTGCATTAGAGCTCTGTTTTTGTAGTTAACAATTTTAATCTTTATATAGTCTATGATAAAATGATATCAAGTAGTTTTTTGGGTTAATTAAATCATATATATGTCGATGATAAAATGGTATTAAGGAAATTCTTAAGAGTTCATTCATGAAATTTGAATCTTAAATTTAAACATTAATAACTGCTTCCATTCTCCATATCCCTAATATAATTGGAGGATTCTGTGCTGAGCCGTGGGAAAGCTCTGTAGAAAACTGGTTATTAGAGCCTCCTGCCCTTAAGTTTCTTGTCTGTTATCAGTTGTGTCACATTGACAAAGTTTAATGCAATTGAGCAAATTTGCATGTCTCTGGAGGAGAGTAGCAGAGATAAATGGTCAAATGTAAATGTTTTAACAAACTTTGCTTTTTAAGATAACACAATCTGGGATTGTTCCTTGCTAGAGTATAAACTCCTTATATCTTTTAAGATGATATGGTCTGGAAATTGAATTTTATTATAAACCATAGAAAAATCTTATAACTCAGGTCTCATTGCTATTTAATATCTCAGTGGAGCTGAAGAATTTAGAATTTAAGAATATTCCCATTATTAATAATTCCCATTAAGAGATTTAGCAATAAATCTTTAGTAGAAGAAATCATTTTTACTATTGTCCATTAGTGTTTCACATTTATTAAAATTACTTCTAAATGAGAGTTGTTTGCAAGTTCCATAGGTATATTGTACCTGTGTATGATATAATTTTATTCTTAGTCTGTGTGTGGTTAATGGTCATGTTAATCAGTTGTTACAGAGATGTACTGTTTTATATTCTAAAGGATTATTCTTGACCACAGAAATGCAAATTGGCTTGGGCAATTATTTGTTTACATTTTCACCATCGTTGGAGATATGCAGTGTTAAGTACTCATAGCAGCCTTATGTACAGCAGCCCTAAACTCCGCTCTGTCCTGTGCCAATCTCACTGTCTCTGACACTCCCATCCCGATTACCCCAGTCACTGAATCAATCCGCCTCATAGAGGACCTTCTCCTCCTGTGCTGTCCCTCCACCCTACCAAGCATGATGTCCCTCTCCAAGGACCTGTCCCTCCTTACAACATGTCCAAAGTATGTCAGACGAAGCCCCATAATCCTTGCCTCCAAGGAGCCGCCCGGTTTAACCCTCTCCAGGATGAATCTGTTTGTTTTCTTAGCAGTCCACGGTACCCTCAATACTCTTCTCCAGCACTACAGCTCAAAGGCATCAATTCTCTTTCTATCCTCCTTAGTCATTGTCCAACTCTCTGATGCATAACAAGTGATAGCAAAAACCATGGCCTGTATCAGACCCACCTTAGTCTCCAGAGAGACACCATTGCTCTTCAGCACTTTGGAGAGGTCCCTAACAGCAGACTTTCCCACGGCAATGCGCCTTTTAATTTCCTGGCTACTGATGCTGAGAGTGTTGACTGTGGAGCCAAGCAAACTAAAGCTGTGAACAATTTTTATCTAGTCAGGCTTATTAACTAGTGAATACAGATAATTCTCTGGTAAAGATCATCTGACTAAATGTCAACTTATATTTACTCCTTAATGTTATATAAATGTGGCCTCATTTGGTGGTATAATCTAGAGAGTTGTGCTGGTAACCCAAGAGCTGGAACCAGCTTAAGAGCAATGAACTTTTGAGCTGAAATGAGAGAACTAACCTCTACAGACAACAGCTTGTTTCTTCTCAGTCACTTTATTGCTGCATGTGCAGCTTTAAAAGCACTGAAAATATACTGAGCCTTTTCTGGAACTAAATCAATTGCCAGTGAATCAGAATCAGCTCGTAGCAGGCCCTCCACTGGCTTTCCATGCTCTAAACTGCAGTAGAGGAGATTTGTCCCTCTGCTCCCAAGGAGCAGCCTGTGCAGAGGAACCACCAGAGATGCCTCTAGGTCAGCAGCAAAATTCTCTGCAGCCTTTGCTGCCAGAACTGCCTTTGTAATAAAGTGGCTAAATGAGAACTGTATGCACCTGTTTTGATCCGCCCACACACACGCCTTAAAGACACACCTAGGAACAGACCTTTGTTGTTGTTGTTAGGACACGCTCTACTCATAGCCACCCTGGCGACAACAGATCTGAATCCTTTCCTATTCTGTGCCGTCTTCACCATCTCTGAAGCACTTGGGCCCATTGCTGTGGGGCCACTGTGTCAATAAGACACTTTTTACGATGTAGTATAAATAATTTCAAACTGGATTTCTATTTTTACTTTCAACTAAACTTCAGGGTGCTAATGATGGTATGAAGTTCCTATAAATTAACCTCTTCTGAGATTTTTTCATTGAATACTTAGAAGCTCATTTTTTTTCTATTATCGTAGATACTCCCCATGAGAAAATTCTTTAAAATTACACCAAAATTTTGATATTTTATAATGACATAGATTACCCAAGGCTGCTTCTTGGGAAAAAGTAAACTTTTAATTAGGCCTTTCAATGATGAAAATATATTTTTCACATTTTCTCATTATCATTTTTAAATAATATCTACATAAAGACACTCTTTGGATTACATGATACATACATATATAGAAAAAAATGCTTTTTATCATTTTATAGTCACCTGATACAATCAAGAGAGAAAATAAAAAGTCTATTTAAGAATAAAAAGGAGTTCTGTCATGTAGTGTATAAGTTGTTGTCATGCTAACAGAAACGTAGGTAGTTCAAATCCACCATCTGCTCCTCATTAGAAAGATAGACATTCTCCTCCGATGTGATTTACAGACTCTGAAAACCTGCTAGAGGGACAGCTATGATAACCTTTGATAGCAATGAGTTTGAATTTAATTTATTTATTTAAAGTAATACATTACCTTTTATTTTAATGGTATTTAAGTAATACCATCCATCTCTTTTGATATTCCATATAAGAAATAAAATTTCAGATTTTATTTTTTGTTTTCCTCTCAAGACCACATATTACAACAGTGACCGGGGTTATGGGGGTAGCTGTGTCGCAATCAGTGAGACTGGTTCAGGACAGGACAGGCTTCAAAGCTCTTATACATAGTGTTGCTATGAGTTTCAGGTGACTCAATGGCACATAACAACAAATGATAATCTATGAATCCCTGAAATTCTTATGAAAATTATTATCCTTATTTAAATATTTAAATTCAGATTATGAAGAAATTGTATTTAGCTTAATGATGTACTTTACTTAGAGTCTACTGATCTTGTATATTCCAATTAATACATCTTGTTCAGATATTCTGCTAATATATATGATGTGAAGGGGGAATTAGCAATGTCCAATATAAAGAAATATTTTGCATTACTTTAAAAATAATGAAAACCTTTCCACACATATACTACTTAATGACACAGATAAAAGAATATGAACTGAATGCTCTACAGCACTTATGAAAAGTCTTGATCATCTGTCAGTACTAAAGTTTAAAAGCTTGCGTTTTCATGCTTTTTAAAATTTGAATAAAAAGATATTAGAACCAAAAAGAATAATCTAATAATACTTAACCCAATCTTCTAATTTACCTATGATGCAATTGCAGTTCAAAAAGAGCCTTCCCAGAGTCTTAGAAATAGTTTATAACATCCAAATCATACATGCTCTACCTGTTGTTATTGTGAGGCGTCATTGAGTTAAGTATAACTCATAGAGACCCTCTGAACAACAGGCAACACTTTGCCTTATCTTGTGGCATCCTCGTAACCTTCAATATGCTTAAGTATATTGCTGCAATTACTGTGTCAGTCTATCTCTTTGTGGGTCTTCTCTCTTTCCTTGACCCTCTACTTTCCCAAGCATCATGTTTTTGTCCTAAGTCTTTCTTCACTTTTCAGTCTTTTCGAGCATACAAACAAATCTGCAGGAGTATAAGTATCTTGAAAGTATAATGTTGTTGGTCGTGTACGTACTGTTGAGTGAGAGCCAGCTCATAGTTGACCCTCCAGTTGCTTTTCAGAGGCTGTAAATATCTACTAAAAGAGATTGCTCAACTTTCTCCCATGGAGCAGCTAGTGGATTCAAGCTGCATGCCTTAGGGTTGGCAGTTCAACTCCTTACTGCTAAGAAACCAGAGTTCCCTTACAAGTATAATGCATGCATGATTTATCTGCAAATTTTCAAAGCAAATATCAATGTTTCCAGTTAAGTTGTATCACATGTAAAGTACTTAGTAAATGTTCTTTGAATTAATATAAGAATATATACTTCCTTGATTGTTATTAAGGATGTCATAGATTGATTGCTGTTTCTGTTGTTGCTAACGTGCGATTGGGTTGACTAGAACTCATACTAACCCTGTGAACAACAGGTTGGAACCTTGCCCTGTACTGCCCCTTTAGATATCATTTATGGTATACCTGTCATGTATTTTAGTAGAGATTTAAAATATTATGTTTTCTCAAAGGGCATCTGGGTACCTGAAGGAGAAACAGTGAAGATCCCTGTGGCTATTAAGATTCTCAATGAAACAACAGGTCCAAAAGCCAATGTGGAGTTCATGGATGTAAGTAGAGACACCCACATTTGTTTTTGGGTTTTGGTTTGGATTTTTATTTTTTTTAATTTTGGTGTTGTGTGTGTTTTTTTTGTTTGTTTGTTTTGTGTTTCTTTTGTAATTGAATGGATGAAACTTTTACGGGGGAAATGTTTTAGAATTTACAAATATTCTTCTGTTAAGAACTCATAATCTTATCATTAAATCAATGTTCGAAGACTTCTTCTCATTCTATAACAATTTTGGAATGACCTCTAATTCACAGCTATGTAGAGGGGATGCTAGAATCAGTCTTTGGAATTTGGAGACATTGACAATTTGTTCAGGTGAATTATCTGTTCTGTCATAACTCAGGTAATGTTTTCCTATTCTTTCAAAAATTTTTTTATTATTATTACTAATTTTAATGAAAATTTACAGAGATTTTGGATTTCCATTAATTCATTGTTGCGCTTTCCTTCCTGCCCACCCCCACCCCTCCAGTTAGTTCTCCTCTTTGAAAACGAAAAAATTCTTTCACTGTTATATAATCCCTCCCTCCAAGTCCACTCCACTATGCAGCCTTTGTTCTGGAGTCTTGTCATGACAATAATACCGAATCATAAATCCCTTTTAAACAGTTTTCTCTCTCTCATATGTTTCTGTTACAGACTGAGGGCAAAGTATTTTTATAATTATTAATAATGAGACAGACTACCAGGAATAGCTTTTGGTTTATTAGTAATACTAAATTTGATATTAAGCTTCCCACATGTTTCAATGCAGTGTGCATAATGTATCCCATCTTTCTCAGACTCCCCTCCAACCCCAATGTCAGTCTCATTTTACAACAGTGGCACTATGCAGTATTTGTCCTTTTGTGACTGAGATATTTCACTCAGCATTATTTCCTCCAGGGTCATTCATTTTAAATAATGTACATTTGTTCTCCTTGCATGAGTGATATGTCATATATAACACCTCCAAGCAAAGTCAGAAAATGTGCTATGTTTCATTTTAATGTTTCAGAAGTAGATATCTAGACCTTTTTTCTTATCCTGTATTAGCCTAGAAACTCCCGTGGAGCCTGCCCATGATGAGTGACCCTTCTGTTACTTGAAATTCTATTGCCAAAGCTTACAGCTTCAGAGAAATACACAAGCTACGCAATATGACAAATAAGAGAAGTTGTTTGGATATGTAGTTAATGATCAGAGATAATGGACATATTAAAATTAGTTACCATAAATGACATCAGAAAAACCATGTGGTGATGATAATAGAAACACACAGTAGTATTTTTATGTGTTTACTGAATGTCATCACTGTTGGCAATGATTTACAAAGAACTCATTTAATTTCCACAAGCTATTTCATGAACTAAGACAAAGGTGTACCTGGTACAGGCCATGGTCTTTGCCATTACTTGCTATGCTTCAGAGACCTGGACAATGACTAGGAATGATAGAAGGAGACTACTGGAGAAGAGTACTGAATATACCATGGACTGCTAGGAAAACAATCAAGTTTGTCCTGGAGAGGGTTAAGCCAGGCCTCTCCTTGGAGGCAAGGATTCTGAAGCTTTGTCTGACATATTTTGGATATTTTGCAAGGAGGGACCAGTCCTTGGAGAGAGACGTCATGCTTGGGAGGGTGGAGGAACAGTGTGAGAGAGAAAGACCCTCGATGAGATGGATTGATTCCATCACTGGAGTAATGGGGATAGGTGTGTTGGAGACAGTGAGATTGGCAAGGGTTAGAGCAGGGTTTAGGGCTGATGTACATAGAGTCTCTTTGAGTTACAAGCGACTTGATGGCACATAACAACAACAACATTTCTTGAACCAGAGTTGTAGAGATTAAAAGAAGGAGGGTTATAGATATTGAAACAAAACAGAGGTTAAAAAAATGGTAGAAATGTAGATTAAATGAGCTAGGATGTGTTACCTGTCCCAACTACTCACTCCACCCTTGTACTAGAAAAACAGCCACAGAAAAACAAACAAAACTTATATGAGTGTGTTCCGTTAACCTTTTGTTTCGAGAAAGGAGCTGCAGAGCTGGGGTGTGGACCACCTTTGGTTCTCTCACTTGCATTTGTAAAGATTCATGATATTTAAGAATGAACCTGACTGCTCTGTATTATTGTGGCTATGATCTATTTGATGAAACGTGATACACAATGACTGTGTACTTGGATGCTAACTGAAATGTCAGTGATTTATACAAAAATGACTTCATAATCCGCTTCCATGGAGATTGTGGTTGTTGCTGTCAAGTCACTTCCAGGGTTCCAGCTTGTAGTTATATACCAGAGCAAAGCATTGTCCAATCCAGCACCTTCATAGAGATTTAAAAACACAGACTTGAAACTCACCGCCGTTGAATTGATTGTGACCCACACAGTGGCACTTCCTCAGGTTTCTGAGGCTGTACGTCTAAATTAAAGGAGACTGCTCATCCTTCTCCCTCAGAACTGTTGATGGGTTAGAACTGACAGAGTCAAGAGTCTATGAGACGTGAGGTCTTTTGGTTAGCAGCTCCACACACTCCTGACTGCACCATCAACACTTCTCTGCATAGGAAACTCTGAAAGGCAGACCAGCTATGAGTCAGAATTGTCTAGATAACACACAGCAACAAGGATCTATTTATGTGGAAATGTCAATCAAAATGAGTTTACATAGTAAGTTAGTTTCTGTTTAAATTAGGAACTTACTTGAGCCAGAAATTCACACCTTGAAATTTACTTTCTTAAATCCAAATTCAGAGAAGGTCTTCTAGGTACAAAGCTCTATTTGTGGAATAATAAGAATGTTCTAAAGAAGAGAAGTCCTTCTGAAGGTCAATCAGAACTCTGAGATTCTCCCTAGCAAAAAAAAAAATAAATAAAATAATAATAATAATAATAATAATAATAATAATAATAATAATAATAATTCCCTCAGCAAAAGAGATGGAGCTATTCAGAAAATTTCAGAGGGTAGCATGGAATAAAACCCTCCGTGTAGCATGCTGTTGTTTGTTTAATTTACTTATTTTTTATATTTGACATACTTTGCTGAGGATTTTATCAAAGATCTTGGTACATTCTTTCCCCATCTGTTTGCATTATGTCTTGAACAAAAAGATTGATTGTGATTTCTAAGTGACCTTCACATGAAAGTGAATGCAAGTATATGTACTTTAGTGTTATCTTTGGCGTTATATGTGAGTTTTGTTTTGGGGGTTCCTCCCCGCTTTTTTTTTAAGATGTATTGTTATATATTTCTACACAGTTTGTCTTCTAAGCTCTTTTGTAAATTTTACAGGAACTTGGACTGTAGATTTAGTTTCTCTACCTTATATGTGTCTATGCTTAGTGGGGCCAGAGCGCTGATAATTTGGGGGGCTCAGTAATGGGCTGCTAACCAAAGGATTTGGCAGTTTGAATTGACCAGAATCTCCACTGTACAAAGATGAGGCAGTCTGTGCCCCTTACGATTTTAGCCTTGAAACCCTATGTGCCGAGTCAATGAATTGTGATTTCTATGAACCAGAATTGACTCAATAATAATGAGCTGATTTTGTTTGGTTTTTTTGAGTACTTTGTAATTTAGAGAGCTCTGGTGCTCTCTAAAGATTAGGGTTCATATCTGCTATTCATAGGGTTGCTATGCGTCATAGTTGACTCCATGGCACATCACAACAACAACCAGTGACCTAGGCCCTCACTCAGCAGTTGCATTGCTAACTAACCCCAAAGTCACTCCTCTCTGGCAGTTCAACTCCACCAGCAGCTCCCTGGAAGAAACAGGAGCTGCCTCCTCTTAAGCAATTTGCAGCCTCTATAACCCTCTGGAAGCTTAACTTGGAGTTGGTTCTGACTCAGAAGCAATGAATTTGAGTTTTCAGTTAATGACGTTATTGTTGGTTATTGTAGAGTAATGAACTGATGAAAGCTGTTACTCGGATTCCTTTCCTGGTGAGGTTGTTTCTTAAGTCCTGAGCTGCTAACTGAAAGTTTGGTGGTTTGAATCCACTAAGTCTAGAAAGCACATTAACAGAGAACTTCCAGAAGTGCAGGCTGGGTTTCGATGAGGGTACTAGGGATATTGTAGATAAAGTTAGATGGATCTTGGCTGAAAGCAAGGAGTACCAGAAGAATGTCTGTCTTTGTTTCATTGATTACTCAAAGTCATTTGACTGCGTGGATCATTAATAAATGGTGGCTGACTCTGAGAAGAATGGGAATCCCAGAACACTTGATTGTGCTAATGTGAAACTTACACTTGGATCAGGAGGCAGTCATCAGAACAGAGCAAGAAAACACTGCATGGTTCAAAATTGGGAAGGGTGTTTGACAGGGCTGTATCCTGTCTCCATAACATTTCAATCTTTATGCAGAACAGGTTATCTAGGAGGGAAGAATCATCAACAATCTGCATTATGCATATGACACAACCTTGCTGACTGAAATTGAGGAGGACCTGAAGCACTTGCTGTGGAAGGTCAGAGACTGCAGTCTTCAGTATGGCTTGAGAATATAAAAAAAACAACAACAAAGATTCTCACCACTGGGCCGATTGGCATCATCATAATCAATGGTGAAGAGGTTGAGATTGTTCAGTTTTGCTTGGATCTACAGTTAACACTCTTGACACTAGCAGTCAGGAAATTAAAAGATATATTGTGATGGGAAAGTCTGTGGTTAGAGACCTCTCTGAAGTACTAAAGTGCAAGGATGCCAGTCTGGAGATTAAGGTGCTCCTGATACACACTATGGTCTTTGCAATCACTTGCTATGCATCGGAGACTTGGACAATGACAAGGGATGATAGAAGGAGAATTGATGCCTTTGAGCTGTGGTGTTGGAGAAGAATATTAAATATACCATGGACTGCTAGGAAACAAACAGGTTTGTCCTGGAGAGCGTGAAGCTGGGCTACTCCTTGGAAGCAAGGATTCTGAGGCTTCGTCTGACATACTTTGGACATGTTGCAAGAAGGGACCAGTCCTTGGAAAGGGACGTCATGCTTGGGAGGGTGGAG